CGTTAAACCAAGATCAGAACTGCTGCCAGTCCAGGTGGACGTCAAAAGATCCCGTGGCTTAAACTATTTGAAAAGAGAGAGTTTTTAAAACTCTCTGTGTTGTATTTGTATACTTATTGGTTTTCAAACCTTCCGCTCTGCATGGCTGGATGTGCTGACGGTTTTTACCAAAAGTGCGTGCATGTCTATGTGTGTGTGTGGATGGGTGTGGGTGTGGATGGGTGTGAAGGTAACCAGTTATTTTTAACAGCTTCTTTGTTTCAAACCATTTTGCGTCTCAATGGGCAGCACTTTTGCCTCTGGCTTAATTAGACAGTTGTGGGTTCGATCCCCATGTAGGGAGCTTTGAGCTCACATTCCTGTGAGTTTTCAACATTGTCACCGTGCGCAATTGGCTGCCACGTTTGCCTGCAAAACACACAGTAACTACACTTTGCAATGCATCCTGTGAAGCTCTTCGGGATGTCCTCCTAGTGTGAAAGGCATTGGAAACACTGATTGTCCAGCGCCTTGAGACGTCCTCCCGACGTGAAAGGCGCTATACAAATGTAATTTTGTTGTTGTTATAAATCAATGAAAATAACTTGTAATGGATGAATTTCCCCTTGCAGCCAGTGTTTATTTATTTGTGTTTTTTTTTTAGAAATTGACGATTCTGAATATGTAGAAGTGCTCCCTTCCTGAAAATAACTGAACTCATCCGATTGACGAAACTACTTTCCTTCTTTTTCTTGACGGAGAATACTCGCCAAAGTATTCTGCAAACCTTTTGCTTTTGACAAACTCCATACGTTCGTCTAATCTCACAAATTAGACTCCAATACTGTAAATTATTTAGAAATCCATAATTCTGTTAGAGAATGTCAGTACTTTGCCTGCACCAGATATCATGATGATATGACAAGTTCTTAAGCTGGCGGTAAATAATTGTGTGATTCTCATGAAAAATATTCAACTGTTATCATTTTTGTTTCAAGTAAGCCTTTGAGTTATGCAGAAGAAAAGAAAGTCTGAAGCTGCAGTGCTCCATTGTTGCCCTAAATATGTTATCTAGCTTGTATTTTACTGTGTATAAACAGTTACGTATTTGTTGAAGTATTTTCAGTATTCAAATATTTTTAAAGGATGCACTGCTCCTTGGATTCAATGTTGCACTTTGTCATTCACTTACCTTTTTGTTTAGAAATGTTGACGTTTGCTAATTGTAGCGTTACCTGAGTTGTCACTATGTAGTGCCTTGTGTGTTCACGTCACTGTCTTCCATGATCACTGCTGACCTTGTGCCTGCCTCAGACAAGATTCCAGGCTGAAAAGATCTTGGTGACATGATCGCACTAACCAAGAATTTTATTCTGTTTAACAATATTGGTGAATTTTATGCTTGGTGCTGGAAGGAAAGAAACACCCTATCATTCCAGGCAGAGGGCGAAACCTTGGGCAAGTTTCCGTACTCCACACACCTAATAATAATCACTCCAAAACCAAAAAAAAACAATAATAAGTTGGTCATTTTCAATCTACGACTGTTTGTGGGACATTGCTGTGCGCAATTGGCTGCCGCGTTCGCCCACAAATATACAGTTAATTCACTTTACAGTGTGTTCTGTGAAGCGCTTTGGGACGTCCTCCCGACGTGAAAAGCGCTAAATCAAATGCAAGGATTATTATTATTTATTGCATCCAGAGTCAATACTGTGTATGTCCTGGACTAATATTGCGTGAGTTAAATGTAGATTATAGATCTCTCTCTAGATTAATCCCTCACTAAATATGTCTGCTGGAGTAGTTTTATTACCTTGCTGTTTGACAATAGCAGAGGAACTTTACATGCCAGTAATCTGATGTTTTCCTTTCTATGCAAGTAGTCAGGATGAACCTAACCCAGGTCATCAAACTGTTCTTACTCATCATGATGTAAGGAATAGACAATTTGATTAATCAAATGAAATGATACAAGATGCAAATTGCTACTTGGGATGTAATAACTATCATGCCCAGTAAATATTGATAATTCACTATTAATTTACTGTATGTTAAAATTGAATAGACCTGGATTTGGGGGAAAAACAATTTTTAAAAAAAAATTTAATTGACTTTATTGATGTATTCTAAATGTGTTACTGTTATGGGTTAACATTGTTTCTTCTACAAGTGAGACTTCCTGTCGTTGTTCATCAAGGGTTCAAATGACCTTATTGTGATTGGCAATGATAACTGCATTAAAATATAAAACGGGTGAACAATCATTTGATCTATATTTAATCTAACCAGTCGACTTTCCTGTTTCAATGAATGCTCTATTTATATCTCGTTATTTTTCTCTCAACTTGTTTTTAAATTGTTCCTGTTGTTTTTTTTATTCGTTAGCTGAACTTGACATACAACAACACTGGAAATGAAAGCTTAATAAACATTGCCTTGTCCACTCAAAGCTCTCTTGTGCTTAGTAAGAGGCTGACCTGAAATGCATGTTTTTTTTGATGCCCTTGTAAGAAATAAAAATCAGAGATTTATGAATAGAAGATATTGGTTCAATTAAAGATAAATCATTCTCAGCATAATTTATCGTACTTTACAAATACTGACAAAATGACAAGGAACATTAAGGCACTTGTCATATAGCGCTCTATTTAAACCGTAGTAAATGTAATTAAAATGTTAGCCTTTTCCTTGAATCCTTGCCAGGCTCTACTGGCTCCCAATCACCGAATGGATGATCATCTCACTCGTTTTCAAATCCCTTCAGGTCTTTGCACCTCCTTACCTATCATTTACCGAATGTTCCTGGCATGTGGATCTGTTATCAACAGATAACAACAGTTTATGGTGTGTCGCTTAATACCTTCATAAAAAAGGATAAATATCTGCTTGTGTGCATTATTGGATGATTTAGACTTCGATGCCAAGGACACATTCCTAGTAATATTAGTAATATTCCTAGCACCTGTCATTTTAAAATGACTCAAAGGCTTTTACAAGTAATTGCTGTCACCTTACGGTTGTAGACAAGTGCAGAGTCCATTTGCACACTATAAGTCTATGTCCATGACATAGGTAGGGACAAATCCCACCTGTTCCAGATTTACCCGACATATGCAGCAATGCAGCGCATCCAGAATCTGGCAATTTTTTTAAAAAAGGAAGCTTTCATTTTGAAGTTTTTTTTGTTAGTTCTTTTTAAGAACTAGAGAAAACTGACTCTAACTTTAAAGTTAACGCTGAATTCAACAATTTGTTAAATTCCGGACTCTCTTAAATACTTCAGAAATAAAGTAAGTCTGGACACAGATGAAATTTCTAACCGAGAGCTAGTTTAAATATAAAAAAAATCTAATTACAAGTAAAGGCAGTGGCCTCAAACTACAAGACTCTGTTGAATTATTGCACTTTTTGTTGTAAGTTGTTCTGTTGTGCTTTATTTAACAACTGTTGTAGAAACAGCAGGGTTTCACTTATTGTGAATTTAATGTAAAATAATATGTATCTGGGGATGATGCAAAACATCAAGGACACTATAAAAATTAAAACATTTTGGGTTCCTGGATACTGAATTATATCGGAATTTTAGTTACTCTGAACTTGTGCAATCAAGGTTAATATTGGTAAAGTATTAAAAGGAGTGGAAGAGTAAAGGGATTTCAGGGTTAATGTACATAATTACTTAAACGGAAGGCAGGTGGACAAAGCTATATAAAAAAAATCGAATCTCAGGTTTTATAAGTAGGCATATAAAATATAAAAGCAAAGAGGTAACGCTGACTGAGAGACGAGAATGCCACGAACTGAGCCAGGCTATAGAAACCAGTAAGATCCCAAGTTGAATGTCCAGCCATGTGGATCTCAGCTCGGCCAGAGGTTGCTGTGCCAGTTACCCTATGAAGGCAAAACCCTAGAGGGAACTAGACAGAAAGTTGCCCATGAAGGTTGCTGTACCTGTTTAAAATCCGCCTCGACTATGATGCCCTAACGATTGAATAGTTTACCAGCGCTCACTCACACATTGAGATCTTGGTCAAGATATATAAATGCAAGTTGTTCGTGTGATCTCAAGAAGTACCAAACCATCATGGAACCTCACAATCAATGCATGTGACTCTTGAGAGAGGTCGTTTTGTCAAGATCTGTGGAAGGTAATGATTCACTAACTTTTCTCAATGACACTGCAAAACAAACAGAAAAGTACAAGATTCAAACCACCGTTCGAATTAAACCAGAATACTTTCAAAAAAAAAATTTCTTGATTGAATATTTTTTGATTTATGCCAAAAAAAACACTACCAATCGAATACAGACTTACTTAGACTAGTGCAAATGTTCGGATGGGGTGATTTCCATGGGCTGTAGTTTGGCCCGAGCTGCTCCAGAGGATACTCTAAAGAAAACTAGATTTTTAAAAATATATTTCTACGCTCATGCTGAAGTGAAAAAATCACTTCCCTCTATCTGGTATTTGGGTAAAACATGTAGCATTTTGTTATAGATTCAATGATATACTATCAAATAAAAAAAGTTGTATTTACGCAGCGCTCCTCACACAGGGAACTCTTGACAGTGGCGGAGCATGACCCTGAGCCGGGGGAGAGGGAGATGACCATAGACAAGGTCGAATAGGAAGGTCTTCAGGCGTGAAGGAAGGCGGAAGTGTAGAGAAAGGATGTTCCAGAGTATTAGGGTGTAAATACGCAAAACATAGCTGAACATTTCTGTGACTTCCTGTATTTCCTTCATATTTACATATTGACTTCGTACATTTTCATAAATCGCAGAGTCCATTTAAATGCTTTATTAATTTAATGTTAATGTGATGTTCTTATTTCCTGATTCCCGCCAGAAGTAATCTGTCAAGATTTCCCATCTGATTCTAAAAGAAGACATTAGATAAATCCAAACTCAATGTCTGTCAGAGAATCACTGCCATGTTTCCACGGATGCATCAGCAAAACAGAGTGTGAAAGTTTATTCAGACTGAAAGGAACAGAGGGAAGCTATTTAATCTGAGAGAGCGTGACTACTCCTGGTGCTTTATGCCTCTGTATATTGTAAGTTCTGGTGTGACAAGACTACAATATTATTCACAGAATTATTAGTTATTTAAAATAAAGTACCGGCGGTGGGGGGGGGGGTAGTGGTTGGAGGGGGTAATTTGCAAAACTGTCAAAATTTGCAGTGTGTAAGGATTGCAGAGTACCTGAGCTTTAGATGTACAAATCCAAAAGACCATTGTCTTAAAATTCACAGATTTTTAGTTCTTCACATCTTTTTGGTGTCAAAAATATGTTTCCATTCGCTGTGAAATATTTCTATCAAAATTAAGCCAATTACATTCTGGTGGCTAAAAGCATTGTGCTTACATCATCTGATCATTCTGACACACTCCTTTCATTTTCAGGCATAAGACAGTTTTATATACCTATCGAATTTTGAAGAACGATAGAGGATATTTCATGTTTCAGGTAAGAACACAAGCATTTGATTTGTGAAAAGAGAGCAAAAGGTGAGTGTTGGAAAAATTGTTTCACTTGGATGTGGAATGCCCCTGCCAAGTAAGGTGGTAGAGACAGAATTGGGTTGGAAGAGGGAAGTAGACACGTTTAAAAAGATGGAGGCTTGAAGGAGATGAGGGTAAAACAGTGGGATACACAGCTTGCTCTGAGCGTCGGTGCAGACTAGATAATAATAATAATAATCTTTGCATTTGATATAGCCCCTTATCACATTTTCGAGACGTCTCAAAGCGCTTCACAGAACATACTGTAAAGTGAATTGACTTTAATGGATTCCGGTAAGGAAACTTGCCCAACGTTTCGCCCTGCCCAGGAATCTAACCTCTCGCCTGCGAGGCGAGTTCTCTAACCACCAAGCTACAGGACTCCACGTGGGGCTTTTGTGCTGCAAACTATGGTTTTGCAATTCTAATTGCAAATTCTAATTCTAATAAATTTCTTCAATTTTGCAACGCATTATGCAATGCAGAAAATGATTGTCAAATCATTTTTGATTGCCACATTATTCTCAACAATGTCTTGTAAACCACTCTGCAGCCAGTGGATCAAATTAAATTAAAATAATGACTCTTGCCAATATGTGACTTGTGTTACAAGAGTTGGCAAGAGTCATTTTATTACTATTTTATTGTCATTATTGTTTTCCTCTGATGGTTTTCTTGTGTGTGTGTGAATTTCTCCCTTTTTCATTGTTTGCATGTTTTTCTTGCTCTCTGTAATCTCTAAGGATTTTCCTATTATTAAGCTGTGTTCCTAAGGTAGAATTGGCATCATATATTGCTGGTCAGATTCTAAACTCTCCACGGCTTAGCTATTATATGCAATTCTATCTTTCTCTCGTGTATGTGCTCAATTTCGTGCCTGTGAGTGTGAGTGAGTGTGGTGTGCACCTAACAATTTTCCTTTCTTTGTGTATGTCTTGTCTTTTTGTGTGTACTTTTCTCTCTTCTTCTCATTTCTTTTACGACATCTGAAATGAACTTTACATTGACTGTTCCGAGAAACAATTATTTACTGAAAAATGACAAATTATTTTGGCTTGTGTTCACTCCAATGTTTAGGCTCCTTTGAGTCATTGGTAACCACACAAATGGCTTTATATAGCTGCCATCTGTATGTTACCCACAAGCAAGCATCAATAGATTTATTGTCAGATATCATGAAGAAAAGCATTTTGTTTTGCTCCAAATCTGAATTTTTTCATAGATTCATAGATTCATAGAATGTTACGGTACAGAAGGAGGCCATTCGGTCCATCAAGTCTGTGCCGGCTCTTTGACAGAGCAAGTCACTTTCACTAACCCCAATCACCAGCTTTCTTCCCATAACCCTGCAAACCCGTCTTCCCCAGATACCTATCCAGTTGTCTCTTAAAAGCTGTTATCGAATCGGACTTCACTACCCTTTCAGGCAGATCATTCCAAATTCGAACAACTCGCTGAGTGAAAACATTTCTTCTAACCTCCCCTCTGCTTCTTTTGGTAGATATCTTAAGACTGTGACCACGGTCACAGACACACCTACCAGCGGAAACAGGTTTCCTTATCATGATCTTGAAGACCTCTATCAGGTCCCCACGTAACCTTCTCCAGCCTGTCCTCATGGTTCCCCATTCCTGGTATCATTCTCGTGATTCTCCTCTGCACCCTTTCCAGTGCCTTAATGTCCTTCCTGAAGTAAGGTGCCCAGAACTGGAAGCAGTACTCCAGCTGAGGCCTAACCAGTGTTTTGTATAGATAACCATAACTCCCTACTCTTATACTCTATGCCCTACTAATAATGCCTTTTTTACTGCTTTATCTTTATCTACCTACCCCGCTACCTTTAATGATTCGCTTACTTGAACACCCAGATCTCTCTGTACATTCACCCCCCTTAAGATTGAGCTACCAAGTCTATATTGCCTCCTATCATTTTTCCTACCTTAAGGGTATCACCTCACACTTATCCACATTGAAATCCATCTGCCACATGTCAGCCCATTCACCATTCTGTGTATGTCTGCTTGCAGTCGGTTACAGTCCTCCTCACTATTTACTACCCTAACCTAACTTCTATATTCATCTGCAAACTTGGAAATAGTGCTCTCTATGCCAAGTCTAGATCATTAATATATATTAGAAAGAGCAGTGGTCCCAATACCGATCCCTGGGGGACACTACTGACACTCCTTCCATTTCGAGAAACACCCATTAACCACCACCCTCTGCTTTCTGTCACTCAGCCAGTTCTTAATCCAAACTGCCACTGTCCCCTTAATACCGTGGGCCTCTAATTTTTTTATTAATCTCTTATGCAGTACTGTGTCAAAAGCCTTTTTGAAATCCATGTAAATAACGACCACCGCATTTCCCTCATCAACCCTCGCAGTCACCTCTTCAAAAAATTCTATTAGATTTGTTAGGCAAGATTTGCCTTTAACAAATCCATGTTGGCTGTCTCTAATTACCTCATGTTCCTCTAAGTAGAGATTTATTCTGTCCCGGATTATGGTCTCCAGTAGTTTTCCTATTACCGAAGTTAGGCTGACTGGCCTGTAATTTCCGGGTTTGTCTTTCTGCCCCTATTTGTAGAGGGGGGTAACATTAGCCACTCTCCAGTCTCTTGGCACCACTCCTGTGTCCAATGAAGATTCAAATATAATGGCCAAAGCCTCCGCTATTTGAACCCGTATCTCCCACCACAACCTTGGGTGAAACCCATCTGGTCCTTTTGAGCCCAGTCAATCTTTTCAGAACTTCCTTTCTGTCTATAGTAATCTGATCTATTTCCTCTACCCTCTCATCCAATACTGCGGCATTTGGGGCATCCATTTCCGTTGTGAAGACAGATGCAAAGTACTCGTTCAGTACATCAGCCATCCCTCTGCCTCCACAACAAGATTGCTGTCATTGTCTTTGATTGGTCTACCTACCTTTAACTAACCTTTTTTCCTTTATGTGCTTGTAAAATATTTTAGGATTCTCCTTTATGTTACCTGCTAACCTCTTCTCATGCGATCTTTTAACCTGTCTTATCACTCTTTTAAGATCACTCCTGCATTCTCTATAATGCGCTTTGCTATCCTCAGTACCTTGCGTCTTCCAATTGTCGTACGCCGTCTTCTTCTTTTTCATCCTCGAGAGAATATCCCTGTTCATCCAGGCTGCTGGCTTGGTTGTCGCACATTTCCCTTTTGTGGGAATATATCTATTTAGACCTTGAGCTATCATATCTTTGAAGATATACTTTTTTAAAAAAAATTAATATCCATCAACAAACTTTTTGTATTGAAGTGACGGTTTATTTAGAATCAGTGCAGTAAGTAAGATGTTTGCTTTTACTTTTTACACACATTATATATATATATATCAATTAAAAACAAATTGCCTGCCATGCTCTGCTGGAGTCCAGTCCTGCTGTGGGTTCAGAGTGCCAAAGATCAATGTGCTTCAGTGTCAAGTGTGGTCAGATCAGCTTCTGATTAGCCTTACTCCCACCATTGAGCAATGACTGTTCAGATCATCCAACCCCCATTTCAGTGCTTTTATCAGCGATCTTCAACTTCCAGTAGCAATAAAGGCTGCCTAACCTTATTGGGAGCATGTATAGAGAAGTTGATCTATCATGGTGAGGAGAATGGGGTGTGTGGATTTATTTGAGTGGGAGCGGTTTGGTGTGTTAATTATCAATCAGGGAGCGGTTTGTGAACAACGATAATATCAAGACGATCTATCACAAAATCATATAATACCGTTGTGAGTTAGCGGTGATAAACGGCTAACACCTCGCGATAAATAAATTAATCCAATGTGGGCTGGAATAGACTGTACTTAATTTTTACTCTGTTTTATTATCCTTGCATAGACTGGATCTAGCTTTAAAGAAATATACTTCAAAAGCCTTATGGATTTAATTGCTCACTATGGAAAGCCAGGACAAGGTCTTGTGACTCAATTGTGCCAGCCTCTGAAGAAAGTCAAAGCTAAGTTGAGCAAACAAGAGGATAATGATTGTGAAGGTATGATAAGTTTGTTCTGCATTTTTTATAAATAGCCTTTTTTTTCTAATATGATCTTTCTCTAATCTATTTTTTTCTCTAATCATTCTTTTACTTCAATGGAAAGAGTACCTCGAGAAAATCATAAATACAACACAGATATTATGAGACATGAGTCTGACCTTGCACAAGCAGAATGTATTACAATAAAACTCACATAAGTCATATCAGTCGTGACCATAACATTTCATATGACTGGTATGAAGTCCGAGTTGCAGTCAAATAGTATAAATCGGATAAAATCATTGACCTACACTGGGCACGTGTAATTCACTGCAGCCGGTAAGTGCGCATGTAGTGACGGGTCAAGACTACGTTTCCCGTGACTTATGTGTCTTGACCCCTCGCCAAATGTGCACTTACTGGCAAGAGTTAGAACCACATTCAATCGCAAGAAATTATATTCTTCTGCGCACGTGTGACGGATCGAAACTACATTTCCCGCAATTTAATGAAGCTGGCCGGTAAGTGAACATGCGTCAACAAATCACTATATGCGTCCCTTTAACAGTGGGCTGACTGTGTTTGCTGAGTTTAACTGACTTAGGGGTTGCAGAAATGCACATTATTCGAGACGTTAAACCAAGATCAGAACTGCTGCCAGTCCAGGTGGACGTCAAAAGATCCCGTGGCTTAAACTATTTGAAAAGAGAGAGTTTTTAAAACTCTCTGTGTTGTATTTGTATACTTATTGGTTTTCAAACCTTCCGCTCTGCATGGCTGGATGTGCTGACGGTTTTTACCCAAAGTGCGTGCATGTCTATGTGTGTGTGTGGATGGGTGTGGGTGTGGATGGGTGTGAAGGTAACCAGTTATTTTTAACAGCTTCTTTGTTTCAAACCATTTTGCGTCTCAATGGGCAGCACTTTTGCCTCTGGCTTAATTAGACAGTTGTGGGTTCGATCCCCATGTAGGGAGCTTTGAGCTCACATTCCTGTGAGTTTTCAACATTGTCACCGTTGTGCGCAATTGGCTGCCACGTTTGCCTGCAAAACACACAGTAACTACACTTTGCAATGCATCCTGTGAAGCTCTTCGGGATGTCCTCCTAGTGTGAAAGGCATTGGAAACACTGATTGTCCAGGCGCCTTGAGACGTCCTCCCGACGCTGAAAGGCGCTATACAAATGTAATTTTGTTGTTGTTATAAATCAATGAAAATAACTTGTAATGGATGAATTTCCCCTTGCAGCCAGTGTTTATTTATTTGTGTTTTTTTTTAGAAATTGACGATTCTGAATATGTAGAAGTGCTCCCTTCCTGAAAATAACTGAACTCATCCGATTGACGAAACTACTTTCCTTCTTTTTCTTGACGGGAATACTCGCCAAAGTATTCTGCACCTTTTGCTTTTGACAAACTCCATACGTTCGTCTAATCTCACAAATTAGACTCCAATACTGTAAATTATTTAGAAATCCATAATTCTGTTAGAGAATGTCAGTACTTTGCCTGCACCAGATATCATGATGATATGACAAGTTCTTAAGCTGGCGGTAAATAATTGTGTGATTCTCATGAAAATATTCAACTGTTATCATTTTTGTTTCAAGTAAGCCTTTGAGTTATGCAGAAGAAAAGAAAGTCTGAAGCTGCAGTGCTCCATTGTTGCCCTAAATATGTTATCTAGCTTGTATTTTACTGTGTATAAACAGTTACGTATTTGTTGAAGTATTTTCAGTATTCAAATATTTTTAAAGGATGCACTGCTCCTTGGATTCAATGTTGCACTTTGTCATTCACTTACCTTTTTTGTTTAGAAATGTTGACGGTTTGCTAATTTGTAGCGTTACCTGAGTTGTCACTATGTAGTGCCTGTGTGTTCACGTCACTGTCTTCCATGATCACTGCTGACCTTGTGCCTGCCTCAGACAAGATTCCAGGCTGAAAAGATCTTGGTGACGATGATCGCACTAACCAAGAATTTTATTCTGTTTAACAATATTGGGTGAATTTTATGCTTGGTGCTGGAAGGAAAGAAACACCCTATCATTCCAGGCAGAGGGCCGAAACCTTGGGCAAGTTTCCGTACTCACACACCTAATAATAATCACTCCAAAACCAAAAAAAAACAATAATAAGTTGGTCATTTTCAATCTACGACTGTTTGTGGGACATTGCTGTGCGCAATTGGCTGCCGCGTTCGCCCACAAATATACAGTTAATTCACTTTACAGTGTGTTCTGTGAAGCGCTTTGGGACGTCCTCCCGACGTGAAAAGCGCTAAATCAAATGCAAGGATTATTATTATTTATTGCATCCAGAGTCAATACTGTGTATGTCCTGGACTAATATTGCGTGAGTTAAATGTAGATTATAGATCTCTCTCTAGATTAATCCCTCACTAAATATGTCTGCTGGAGTAGTTTTATTACCCTTGCCTGTTTGACAATAGCAGAGGAACTTTACATGCCAGTAATCTGATGTTTTCCCTTTCTATGCAAGTAGTCAGGATGAACCTAACCCAGGTCATCAAACTGTTCTTACTCATCATGATGTAAGGAATAGACAATTTGATTAATCAAATGAAATGATACAAGATGCAAATTGCTACTTGGGAATGTAATAACTATCATGCCCAGTAAATATTGATAATTCACTATTAATTTACTGTATGTTAAATTGAATAGACCTGGATTTGGGGGAAAAACAATTTTTAAAAAAAAAATTTAATTGACTTTATTGATGTATTCTAAATGTGTTACTGTTATGGGTTAACATTGTTTCTTCTACAAGTGAGACTTCCTGTCGTTGTTCATCAAGGGTTCAAATGACCTTTTTGTGATTGGCAATGATAACTGCATTAAAATATAAAACGGTGAACAATCATTTGATCTATATTTAATCTACCAGTCGACTTTCCTGTTTCAATGAATGCTCTATTTATATCTCGTTATTTTTCTCTCAACTTGTTTTTAAATTGTTCCTGTTGTTTTTTTTATTCGTTAGCTGAACTTGACATACAACAACACTGGAAATGAAAGCTTAATAACATTGCCTTGTCCACTCAAAGCTCTCTTGTGCTTAGTAAGAGGCTGACCTGAAATGCATGTTTTTTTTGATGCCCTTGTAAGAAATAAAAATCAGAGATTTATGAATAGAAGATATTGGTTCAATTAAAGATAAATCATTCTCAGCATAATTTATCGTACTTTACAAATACTGACAAAATGACAAGGAACATTAAGGCACTTGTCATATAGCGCTCTATTTAAACCGTAGTAAATGTAATTAAAATGTTAGCCTTTTCCTTGAATCCTTGCCAGGCTCTACTGGCTCCCAATCACCGAATGGATGATCATCTCACTCGTTTTCAAATCCCTTCAGGTCTTTGCACCTCCTTACCTATCATTTACCGAATGTTCCTGGCATGTGGATCTGTTATCAACAGATAACAACAGTTTATGGTGTGTCGCTTAATACCTTCATAAAAAAAGGATAAATATCTGCTTGTGTGCATTATTGGATGATTTAGACTTCGATGCCAAGGACACATTCCTAGTAATATTAGTAATATTCCTAGCACCTGTCATTTTAAAATGACTCAAAGGCTTTTACAAGTAATTGCTGTCACCTTACGGTTGTAGACAAGTGCAGAGTCCATTTGCACACTATAAGTCTATGTCCATGACATAGGTAGGGACAAATCCCACCTGTTCCAGATTTACCCGACATATGCAGCAATGCAGCGCATCCAGAATCTGGCAATTTTTTTAAAAAAGGAAGCTTTCATTTTGAAGTTTTTTTTGTTAGTTCTTTTTAAGAACTAGAGAAAACTGACTCTAACTTTAAAGTTAACGCTGAATTCAACAATTTGTTAAATTCCGGACTCTCTTAAATACTTCAGAAATAAAGTAAGTCTGGACACAGATGAAATTTCTAACCGAGAGCTAGTTTAAATATAAAAAAAATCTAATTACAAGTAAAGGCAGTGGCCTCAAACTACAAGACTCTGTTGAATTATTGCACTTTTTGTTGTAAGTTGTTCTGTTGTGCTTTATTTAACAACTGTTGTAGAAACAGCAGGGTTTCACTTATTGTGAATTTAATGTAAAATAATATGTATCTGGGGATGATGCAAAACATCAAGGACACTATAAAAATTAAAACATTTTGGGTTCCTGGATACTGAATTATATCGGAATTTTAGTTACTCTGAACTTGTGCAATCAAGGTTAATATTGGTAAAGTATTAAAAGGAGTGGAAGAGTAAAGGGATTTCAGGGTTAATGTACATAATTACTTAAACGGAAGGCAGGTGGACAAAGCTATATAAAAAAAACCGAATCTCAGGTTTTATAAGTAGGCATATAAAATATAAAAGCAAAGAGGTAACGCTGACTGAGAGACGAGAATGCCACGAACTGAGCCAGGCTATAGAAACCAGTAAGATCCCAAGTTGAATGTCCAGCCATGTGGATCTCAGCTCGGCCAGAGGTTGCTGTGCCAGTTACCCTATGAAGGCAAAACCCTAGAGGGAACTAGACAGAAAGTTGCCCATGAAGGTTGCTGTACCTGTTTAAAATCCGCCTCGACTATGATGCCCTAACGATTGAATAGTTTACCAGCGCTCACTCACACATTGAGATCTTGGTCAAGATATATAAATGCAAGTTGTTCGTGTGATCTCAAGAAGTACCAAACCATCATGGAACCTCACAATCAATGCATGTGACTCTTGAGAGAGGTCGTTTTGTCAAGATCTGTGGAAGGTAATGATTCACTAACTTTTCTCGATGACACTGCAAAACAAACAGAAAAGTACAAGATTCAAACCACCGTTCGAATTAAACCAGAATACTTTCAAAAAAAAATTTTCTTGATTGAATATTTTTTGATTTATGCCAAAAAAAACACTACCAATCGAATACAGACTTACTTAGACTAGTGCAAATGTTCGGATGGGGTGATTTCCATGGGCCGTAGTTTGGCCCGAGCTGCTCCAGAGGATACTCTAAAGAAAACTAGATTTTTTAAAAATATATTTCTACGCTCATGCTGAAGTGAAAAAATCACTTCCCTCTATCTGGTATTTGGGTAAAAATGTAGCATTTTGTTATAGATTCAATGATATACTATCAAATAAAAAAAGTTGTATTTACGCAGCGCTCCTCACACAGGGAACTCTTGACAGTGGCGGAGCATGACCCTGAGCCGGGGGAGAGGGAGATGACCATAGACAAGGTCGAATAGGAAGGTCTTCAGGCGTGAAGGAAGGCGGAAGTGTAGAGAAAGGATGTTCCAGAGTATTAGGGTGTAAATACGCAAAACATAGCTGAACATTTCTGTGACTTCCTGTATTTCCTTCATATTTACATATTGACTTCGTACATTTTCATAAATCGCAGAGTCCATTTAAATGCTTTATTAATTTAATGTTAATGTGATGTTCTTATTTCCTGATTCCCGCCAGAAGTAATCTGTCAAGATTTCCCATCTGATTCTAAAAGAAGACATTAGATAAATCCAAACTCAATGTCTGTCAGAGAATCACTGCCATGTTTCCACGGATGCATCAGCAAAACAGAGTGTGAAAGTTTATTCAGACTGAAAGGAACAGAGGGAAGCTATTTAATCCGAGAGAGCGTGACTACTCCTGGTGCTTTATGCCTCTGTATATTGTAAGTTCTGGTGTGACAAGACTACAATATTATTCACAGAATTATTAGTTATTTAAAATAAAGTACCGGCGGTGGGGGGGGGGTAGTGGTTGGAGGGGGTAATTTGCAAAACTGTCAAAATTTGCAGTGTGTAAGGATTGCAGAGTACCTGAGCTTTAGATGTACAAATCCAAAAGACCATTGTCTTAAAATTCACAGATTTTTAGTTCTTCACATCTTTTTGGTGTCAAAAATATGTTTCCATTCGCTGTGAAATATTTCTATCAAAATTAAGCCAATTACATTCTGGTGGCTAAAAGCATTGTGCTTACATCATCTGATCATTCTGACACACTCCTTTCATTTTCAGGCATAAGACAGTTTTATATACCTATCGAATTTTGAAGAACGATAGAGGATATTTCATGTTTCAGGTAAGAACACAAGCATTTGATTTGTGAAAAGAGAGCAAAAGGTGAGTGTTGGAAAAATTGTTTCACTTGGATGTGGAATGCCCCTGCCAAGTAAGGTGGTAGAGACAGAATTGGGTTGGAAGAGGGAAGTAGACACGTTTAAAAAGATGGAGGCTTGAAGGAGATGAGGGTAAAACAGTGGGATACACAGCTTGCTCTGAGCGTCGGTGCAGACTAGATAATAATAATAATAATCTTTGCATTTGATATAGCCCCTTATCACATTTTCGAGACGTCTCAAAGCGCTTCACAGAACATACTGTAAAGTGAATTGACTTTAATGGATTCCGGTAAGGAAACTTGCCCAACGTTTCGCCCTGCCCAGGAATCTAACCTCTCGCCTGCGAGGCGAGTTCTCTAACCACCAAGCTACAGGACTTCACGTGGGGCTTTTGTGCTGCAAACTATGATTTTGCAATTCTAATTGCAAATTCTAATTCTAATAAATTTCTTCAATTTTGCAACGCATTATGCAATGCAGAAAATGATTGTCAAATCATTTTTGATTGCCACATTATTCTCAACAATGTCTTGTAAACCACTCTGCAGCCAGTGGATCAAATTAAATTAAAATAATGACTCTTGCCAATATGTGACTTGTGTTACAAGAGTTGGCAAGAGTCATTTTATTACTATTTTATTGTCATTATTGTTTTCCTCTGATGGTTTTCTTGTGTGTGTGTGAATTTCTCCCTTTTTCATTGTTTGCATGTTTTTCTTGCTCTCTGTAATCTCTAAGGATTTTCCTATTATTAAGCTGTGTTCCTAAGGTAGAATTGGCATCATATATTGCTGGTCAGATTCTAAACTCTCCACGGCTTAGCTATTATATGCAATTCTATCTTTCTCTCGTGTATGTTGCTCAATTTCGTGCCTGTGAGTGTGAGTGAGTGTGTGTGCACCTAACAATTTTCCTTTCTTTGTGTATGTCTTGTCTTTTTGTGTGTACTTTTCTCTCTTCTTCTCATTTCTTTTACGACATCTGAAATGAACTTTACATTGACTGTTCCGAGAAACAATTATTTACTGAAAAATGACAAATTATTTTGGCTTGTGTTCACTCCAATGTTTAGGCTCCTTTGAGTCATTGGTAACCACACAAATGGCTTTATATAGCTGCCATCTGTATGTTACCCACAAGCAAGCATCAATAGATTTATTGTCAGATATCATGAAGAAAAGCATTTTGTTTTGCTCCAAATCTGAATTTTTTCATAGATTCATAGATTCATAGAATGTTACGGCACAGAAGGAGGCCATTCGGTCCATCAAGTCTGTGCCGGCTCTTTGACAGAGCAAGTCACTTTCACTAACCCCAATCACCAGCTTTCTTCCCATAACCCTGCAAACCCGTCTTCCCCAGATACCTATCCAGTTGTCTCTTAAAAGCTGTTATCGAATCGGACTTCACTACCCTTTCAGGCAGATCATTCCAAATTCGAACAACTCGCTGAGTGAAAACATTTCTTCTAACCTCCCCTCTGCTTCTTTTGGTAGATATCTTAAGACTGTGACCACGGGTCACAGACACACCTACCAGCGGAAACAGGTTTTCCTTATCATGATCTTGAAGACCTCTATCAGGTCCCCACGTAACCTTCTCCAGCCTGTCCTCATGGTTCCCCATTCCTGGTATCATTCTCGTGATTCTCCTCTGCACCCTTTCCAGTGCCTTAATGTCCTTCCTGAAGTAAGGTGCCCAGAACTGGAAGCAGTACTCCAGCTGAGGCCTAACCAGTGTTTTGTATAGATAACCATAACCTCCCTACTCTTATACTCTATGCCCCTACTAATAATGCCTTTTTTACTGCTTTATCTTTATCTACCTACCCCGCTACCTTTAATGATTCGCTTACTTGAACACCCAGATCTCTCTGTACATTCACCCCCCTTAAGATTGAGCTACCAAGTCTATATTGCCTCCTATCATTTTTCCTACCTTAAGGGTATCACCTCACACTTATCCACATTGAAATCCATCTGCCACATGTCAGCCCATTCCACCATTCTGTGTATGTCTGCTTGCAGTCGGTTACAGTCCTCCTCACTATTTACTACCCTACCTAACTTTATATCATCTGCAAACTTGGAAATAGTGCTCTCTATGCCCAAGTCTAGATCATTAATATATATTAAAAAGAGCAGTGGTCCCAATACTGATCCCTGGGGGACACTACTGGACACTTCCTTCCATTTCGAGAAACGCCCATTAACCACCACCCTCTGCTTTCTGTCACTCAGCCAGTTCTTAATCCAAACTGCCACTGTCCCCTTAATACCGTGGGCCTCTAATTTTTTATAATCTCTTATGCAGTACTGTGTCAAAAGCCTTTTTGAAATCCATGTAAATAACGTCCACCGCATTTCCCTCATCAACCCTCGCAGTCACCTCTTCAAAAAATTCTATTAGATTTGTTAGGCAAGATTTGCCTTTAACAAATCCATGTTGGCTGTCTCTAATTACCTCATGTTCCTCTAAGTAGAGATTTATTCTGTCCCGGATTATGGTCTCCAGTAGTTTTCCTATTACCGAAGTTAGGCTGACTGGCCTGTAATTTCCGGGTTTGTCTTTCTGCCCCTTTTTGTAGAAGGGGGGTAACATTAGCCACTCTCCAGTCTCATGGCACCACTCCTGTGTCCAATGAAGATTGAAATATAATGGCCAAAGCCTCCGCTATTTGAACCCGTGTCTCCCGCAGCAACCTTGGGTGAAACCCATCTGGTCCTGGTGACTTATCAATTTTGAGCCCAGTCAATCTTTTCAGAACTTCCTCTCTGTCTATAGTAATCTGATCTATTTCCTCTACCCTCTAATCCAATACTGCGGCATTTGGGGCATCCATTTCCGTTGTGAAGACAGATGCAAAGTACTCGTTCAGTACATCAGCCATGCCCTCTGCCTCCACAACAAGATTGCCGTCATTGTCTTTGATTGACTCCACCCTACCTTTAACTAACCTTTTTTCCTTTATGTGCTTGTAAAATATTTTAGGATTCCCCTTTATGTTACCCGCTAACCTCTTCTCATGCGATCTTTTAGCCTGTCTTATCACTCTTTTAAGATCACTCCTGCATTCTCTATAATGCGCTTTGCTATCCTCAGTATCTTGCGTCTTCCAATTGTCGTACGCAGTCTTCTTCTTTTTCATCCTCGAGAGAATATCCCTGGTCATCCAGGCTGGCTTGGTTGTCGCACATTTCCCTTTTGTGGGAATATATCTATTTAGACCTTGAGCTATCATATCTTTGAAGATATACTTTTTTAAAAAAAATTAATATCCATCAACAAACTTTTTGTATTGAAGTGACGGTTTATTTAGAATCAGTGCAGTAAGTAAGATGTTTGCTTTTACTTTTTACACACATTATATATATATATATATATATATATATCAATTAAAAACAAATTGCCTGCCATGCTCTGCTGGAGTCCAGTCCTGCTGTGGGTTCAGAGTGCCAAAGATCAATGTGCTTCAGTGTCAAGTCTGGTCAGATCAGCTTCTGATTAGCCTTACTCCCACCATTGAGCAATGACTGTTCAGATCATCCAACCCCCATTTCAGTGCTTTTATCAGCGATCTTTCAACTTCCAGTAGCAATAAAGGCTGCCTAACCTTATTGGGAGCATGTATAGAGAAGTTGATCTATCATGGTGAGGAGAATGGGGTGTGTGGATTTATTTGAGTGGGAGCGGTTTGGTGTGTTAATTATCAATCAGGGAGCGGTTTGTGAACAACGATAATATCAAGACGATCTATCACAAAATCATATAATACCGTTGTGAGTTAGCGGTGATAAACGGCTAACACCTCGCGATAAATAAATTAATCCAATGTGGGCTGGAATAGACTGTACTTAATTTTTACTCTGTTTTATTATCCTTGCATAGACTGGATCTAGCTTTAAAGAAATATACTTCAAAAGCCTTATGGATTTAATTGCTCACTATGGAAAGCCAGGACAAGGTCTTGTGACTCAATTGTGCCAGCCTCTGAAGAAAGTCAAAGCTAAGTTGAGCAAACAAGAGGATAATGATTGTGAAGGTATGATAAGTTTGTTCTGCATTTTTTATAAATAGCCTTTTTTTTCTAATATGATCTTTCTCTAATCTATTTTTTTCTCTAATCATTCTTTTACTTCAATGGAAAGAGTACCTCGAGAAAATCATAAATACAACACAGATATTATGAGACATGAGTCTGACCTTGCACAAGCAGAATGTATTACAATAAAACTCACATAAGTCATATCAGTCGTGACCATAACATTTCATATGACTGGTATGAAGTCCGAGTTGCAGTCAAATAGTATAAATCGGATAAAATCATTGACCTACACTGGGCACGTGTAATTCACTGCAGCCGGTAAGTGCGCATGTAGTGACGGGTCAAGACTACGTTTCCCGTGATTTATGTGTCTTGACCCCTCGACAAATGTGCACTTACTGGCAAGAGTTAGAACCACATTCAATCGCAAGAAATTATATTCTTCTGCGCATGCGTTGACGGATCAAAACTACATTTCCCGCAATTTAATGAAGCTGGCCGGTAAGTGAACATGCGTCAACAAATCACTATATGCGTCCCTTTAACAGTGGGCTGACTGTGTTTGCTGAGTTTAACTGACTTAGGGGTTGCAGAAATGCACATTATTCGAGACGTTAAACCAAGATCAGAACTGCTGCCAGTCCAGGTGGACGTCAAAAGATCCCGTGGCTTAAACTATTTGAAAAGAGAGAGTTTTTAAAACTCTCTGTGTTGTATTTGTATACTTATTGGTTTTCAAACCTTCCGCTCTGCATGGCTGGATGTGCTGACGGTTTTTACCAAAAGTGCGTGCATGTCTATGTGTGTGTGTGGATGGGTGTGGGTGTGGATGGGTGTGAAGGTAACCAGTTATTTTTAACAGCTTCTTTGTTTCAAACCATTTTGCGTCTCAATGGGCAGCACTTTTGCCTCTGGCTTAATTAGACAGTTGTGGGTTCGATCCCCATGTAGGGAGCTTTGAGCTCACATTCCTGTGAGTTTTCAACATTGTCACCGTGCGCAATTGGCTGCCACGTTTGCCTGCAAAACACACAGTAACTACACTTTGCAATGCATCCTGTGAAGCTCTTCGGGATGTCCTCCTAGTGTGAAAGGCATTGGAAACACTGATTGTCCAGCGCCTTGAGACGTCCTCCCGACGTGAAAGGCGCTATACAAATGTAATTTTGTTGTTGTTATAAATCAATGAAAATAACTTGTAATGGATGAATTTCCCCTTGCAGCCAGTGTTTATTTATTTGTGTTTTTTTTTAGAAATTGACGATTCTGAATATGTAGAAGTGCTCCCTTCCTGAAAATAACTGAACTCATCCGATTGACGAAACTACTTTCCTTCTTTTTCTTGACGGAGAATACTCGCCAAAGTATTCTGCAAACCTTTTGCTTTTGACAAACTCCATACGTTCGTCTAATCTCACAAATTAGACTCCAATGCTGTAAATTATTTAGAAATCCATAATTCTGTTAGAGAATGTCAGTACTTTGCCTGCACCAGATATCATGATGATATGACAAGTTCTTAAGCTGGCGGTAAATAATTGTGTGATTCTCATGAAAAATATTCAACTGTTATCATTTTTGTTTCAAGTAAGCCTTTGAGTTATGCAGAAGAAAAGAAAGTCTGAAGCTGCAGTGCTCCATTGTTGCCCTAAATATGTTATCTAGCTTGTATTTTACTGTGTATAAACAGTTACGTATTTGTTGAAGTATTTTCAGTATTCAAATATTTTTAAAGGATGCACTGCTCCTTGGATTCAATGTTGCACTTTGTCATTCACTTACCTTTTTGTTTAGAAATGTTGACGTTTGCTAATTGTAGCGTTACCTGAGTTGTCACTATGTAGTGCCTTGTGTGTTCACGTCACTGTCTTCCATGATCACTGCTGACCTTGTGCCTGCCTCAGACAAGATTCCAGGCTGAAAAGATCTTGGTGACATGATCGCACTAACCAAGAATTTTATTCTGTTTAACAATATTGGTGAATTTTATGCTTGGTGCTGGAAGGAAAGAAACACCCTATCATTCCAGGCAGAGGGCGAAACCTTGGGCAAGTTTCCGTACTCCACACACCTAATAATAATCACTCCAAAACCAAAAAAAAACAATAATAAGTTGGTCATTTTCAATCTACGACTGTTTGTGGGACATTGCTGTGCGCAATTGGCTGCCGCGTTCGCCCACAAATATACAGTTAATTCACTTTACAGTGTGTTCTGTGAAGCGCTTTGGGACGTCCTCCCGACGTGAAAAGCGCTAAATCAAATGCAAGGATTATTATTATTTATTGCATCCAGAGTCAATACTGTGTATGTCCTGGACTAATATTGCGTGAGTTAAATGTAGATTATAGATCTCTCTCTAGATTAATCCCTCACTAAATATGTCTGCTGGAGTAGTTTTATTACCTTGCTGTTTGACAATAGCAGAGGAACTTTACATGCCAGTAATCTGATGTTTTCCTTTCTATGCAAGTAGTCAGGATGAACCTAATCCAGGTCATCAAACTGTTCTTACTCATCATGATGTAAGGAATAGACAATTCGATTAATCAAATGAAATGATACAAGATGCAAATTGCTACTTGGGATGTAATAACTATCATGCCCAGTAAATATTGATAATTCACTATTAATTTACTGTATGTTAAAATTGAATAGACCTGGATTTGGGGGAAAAACAATTTTTTTAAAAAAAATTCATTGACTTTATTGATGTATTCTAAATTTGTTACTGTTATGGGTTAAAATTGTTTCTTGAACAAGTGAGATTTCCTGTCGTTGTTCATCAAGGGTTCAAATGACCTTATTGTGATTGGCAATGATAACTGCATTAAAATATAAAACGGGTGAACAATCATTTGATCTATATTTAATCTAACCAGTCGACTTTCCTGTTTCAATGAATGCTCTATTTATATCTCGTTATTTTTCTCTCAACTTGTTTTTAAATTGTTCCTGTTGTTTTTTTTATTCGTTAGCTGAACTTGACATACAACAACACTGGAAATGAAAGCTTAATAAACATTGCCTTGTCCACTCAAAGCTCTCTTGTGCTTAGTAAGAGGCTGACCTGAAATGCATGTTTTTTTTGATGCCCTTGTAAGAAATAAAAATCAGAGATTTATGAATAGAAGATATTGGTTCAATTAAAGATAAATCATTCTCAGCATAATTTATCGTACTTTACAAATACTGACAAAATGACAAGGAACATTAAGGCACTTGTCATATAGCGCTCTATTTAAACCGTAGTAAATGTAATTAAAATGTTAGCCTTTTCCTTGAATCCTTGCCAGGCTCTACTGGCTCCCAATCACCGAATGGATGATCATCTCACTCGTTTTCAAATCCCTTCAGGTCTTTGCACCTCCTTACCTATCTGATTTGCTTACCCGTCACTCTACCACCTGCTGTCTCTGCTTCGCTGGCTCCGGCCTCCTGTTCGTCCCTCCCAGTCCAAATCCCTGACTGTCCAGCACCTTGGGACATTTTCCCGACATGAAAGGCGCTATACAAATGTAATTTTGTATAGTATTGTCCCCTCCGCTCCACTGCCTTTAGCCACTGTTCCCCGAAATTCTGGAACTCTCTCCCTCAATCCCTCCCCCTTGCCCTCTCGCTCTCCACTTTCAAATCCAATAAATGATCTTCGTTTTTGATTGTACTTATGGTCATCTCCTTCTTCCATCCTCCCCGGCTTGGAGTCAGACTTTGCCACTGTCAAGCACCCCTGGACGCTACCCACGGTGAGTATCACCATTATGAGTATGACCCTGGCTCAGTTGGTAACTCTCGCCTCTACGTCAGAAAGTTGTTGGTTCAACACCAACAACTTACACGTATATAGCAGCTTCCACGCAGAGTAGCGTCTCAGAGAGCTTAACAATCGTGGAGCCTGACTCCGAGCCGGGGTGGGGGAAGTGACCGTAAGCACAGTCAAAAAGGAAGGTTTTAAGGAGGGACTTAAAAGGGGAGAGAGGGGCAAGGTGGACGGATTGAGGGAGAGTGTTCCAAAGTTTTGGGGCGTAGTAGCTGGTGTCCTGGACAACAATACCCAAATAAAACTGGTCTTTCTCTTCACGGCCGTTTGTGGGTGCAAATTGCTGCATGCAAATTGGCTGCCATGTTCACCCACCAATTCTGTATTACTTACTATACTGGTCAACGTGGTGTGACTGGGACATGACTGGGCATAAATGGGCTGCCACATTCGCCTACAAATACACAGTGACTACACTTTACAATATATATAAATTCAGTGAAGCATTTTGAGACATCCTCCGGACATGAAAGGCGCTACCCCGAATGCTAGGGTTATTCATTCAGGTCTTGGTTTTTCTCATTCACATATAAAGGCTGCTGTAGCAGGATTTGGTGTTGAGCTAGTCATGACTTACTCCAAGCCATATTTACAGCTAAAATCGAAAGAACAAATAGTAAGCAGATAATTAACACACCAAAAAAACACACTCTACCGAATTCAGCCATTAACTGGAAGCATCCTGGGTGAGTTTTTCTTGGCATAAAAATGATGCATCAGGGGAATGTGTATATGCTTTTCTTAAGGTTTGCCAATATGAACCATATATTTGTAATACATGAAGTCCTGTAGCATATTGGTTAGAGCACCTCACAAGCAAGAGGACCTGGGTTTGATTCCCGGACAGGGCGAAGCATGAGACAAGCTTGCTTATTCCACACGCCTCTGTTTACCTCGCAGTAAGCCACAAGCTACAATAGGGGGTCCCCAAGCCCTAGCACACCAAACTGTCTGTGATACTCAGGAATTAGATAATGATAGTAATCCTTGCATTCAATATAGCGCTTTTCACTTCTTCTTGATGTCTCAAAGCGCTTCACAGAATAGACTGTAAAGTGAATTGACTGTATATTTGTGGGCGAAATGCAGCAGCCAATTGCGCACAGCAGTGTCCCACAAACAGTCGTGGATTGAAACGACCAATTTATTATTGTTTTTTTTGGAAAGATTATTATCAGGCGTTTAGAGTAAGGAAACTGGCCTAAGGTTTCACCCTGCTGGGAATCAAACCCATGTCTCTCGCTTGCAGAGTGAGTGCTCTAACCACTGAGCTACAAAACTCCACGTAAGTAGGGTGTGTGCATCTGAGAGCTTATTATGAGTGTACATTCCATTCCAAACACATCGTTTCACATCCACAGGGTTCATCATCATTGGATAATAGCCACAATGGATAATAACTTTTTGGAGTTCACAGAATGTGATTGCCCCCATGTGGACATTTCTGTAAGCATTTGACAAAATGTTGCCATTTGAATGCAAACCAAGATTGTAGCCTCAACTTCAGCGAGTTCAATTATGCCTTAAATTCTACCATATTAATGATCAATAACATTTATACACTTTATTCAAAACTCATGTATGCATTCTGCAGCTGATGTCAAGTTTTGCAGGACAACACGACAGCTAAGATTCCTGTTCTTTTCTGACACTGGCCTCAGTAGGTACTTGGCCCCTTACAGGCTGTTCAAGAGAATGCAACAACAACACAACAACAAAATTACATTTGTATAGCGCCTTTCACGTCGGGAGGACGTCCCAAAGCACTGGACAGACAGAGTTACGGACCCGAGCTTAGGGTTGGGGTGGGGGAGGGAGCAGGCAGGTTGGTAGGGTGTCAGCAGGTCAGAGAGGTAGGAGGGGGTAAGGCCATGGATGGCCTTGAAAGTGAGGACAAGGATCTTGAACTCGATCCTCTGGGGTATGGGGAGCCAGTGGAGTTGGACGAAGGTGGGAATGATGGAGTCACGGAGCCTGGTGCGCGAGAGTACACGAGCTGCAGAGTTGTGAAGGGAAGAGTTGGGAAGGCCGATGAGGAGTTTCCGTAATCGAGCCTTGATGTGATGAATGCGTGGGTGAGGGCTTTGGCAGCCTGAGGGATGAGGCAGTGGCGGAGTCTGGCAATGTTGCAGAGGTGGTGGTAGGCAGTGCCGGTCATGGCGCGAGTGTGGGGGAGAAAGGACAGTTCAGGGTCAAACAACATACCCAGGTTCCTGACTGGCTTGGTGAGGTTGAGTATGCAGCCGTGGAGGCTGATACTGCCAGCGCCCGAGGTGCAAGCCAATCAGGAGGGCCTCGGTCTTGCTGACATTGAGTTGGAGAAAGTTGTCCCTCGTCCAGGACTTGATGTCGGACAGGCAGTCGGTCAGGACACCAGTAGAAAGTGGTGAAGCCATTTGCTGTGACGAAGTGGAGGCGGTGTGAAAGGTAGGACCTGAACCAGTCAAGGACAGAACCTTGAAGGTTGAGGTGGGAGGAGAGGCGGTGGAGTAGGATTGAGTAGTCCACGGTGTCAAAGGCAGTGGAGTAGTCAAGGAGGACGAGGAGACAGAGGGAGCCCTGATCGCACATAATCAGGATGTTATTTGTGACTGTTTCTGGTCATGGAGAGAGTGGGAGGAGAGGAAAGAGCGAAGCTGGGAGGCAACGGCTCTCTTAAGGACCTTGGATAGGAAAGGAGGTTTGAGATGAGATAGGGCAATAGCTGGATAGCTGTGGTGGGTCAAGGGAAGGTTTCTACAAAGTGGAGGTGATAATGGGTGTTTTGAGGGGGGTAGGAACAGTGCCAGATGACAGGGAAAGTTGATGATGCAAGAAAGCTTGTGGCAAATTAGGCTGGCAATTTGCAAAGGTTAAAATCATCAAAATATCATTTTTATGTGTCAGACTGGCTTAGTTTGTAGTACTTTCAGAAACTTGGGTGTTCAAGCTCCACCTCAGGACTTTGGGCTCCTGAGGCTGAAATTCCACTGCAGTGCTGGGAAATATAAATACAAGTTGTTGTTGTATTTATAATACTCACCTCCGCTAAATCGTCGTTCTACTCCATGACAATCTTGGAGGCTAAGGACAACCCCAGCCTCCTCTTCTCCATCACGAACCGGCTCCTCTGCCCACCCTCTCATGCCTCGCCCATCCTCACCTCAAATGTGAGGCGATCCTGGATTTCCTCAAATCCAAAATCGAGGAAATCTGTTCAGCTGCCTCTA